ATTTATATTATTATAATAATTATAATTATTACAAATATAATAAAAATTACTACTACTACAACAACAATAATAATAATAATTTAGTTATTTTTTAAAAATTAAGTAATTAACCAGTCTCTAGCTCAGAAAATACCAGAAAGGAGCCTTTACAGGAAGGAAAGTCATTATAGGAGGCATGTGACTTTTGTGTTAAGAAATCAGTTTTCTTTCCATATATCTAATGAAAGGTATTTTCTGAAACCTCATACACATTTTACAGAAAACACTACTAGAAATTCAAAAGATTGTCTGAATTTATGCATAGACTGTAGAATGAAGGCCAATTCAATTGAATCACACTGAAGCAAACTTATTACATACATATTAACAAAAGCAACTATGTGTTTAAGTTTTCAGATCTTATTGCTTACATAGAACTGTAGAATAGCATTAAATTCATATAAACGAAGATGAAAAATACTGTTTTGCCATCCTCTGCCCTTTAACTACAGAATAAACTTTTAAAGTTTATTACCAGTGATCACTGATCCTGTACTGAACTCAGAAATCACTAGCAGACATTTATTGTCTTCTTCCAAACTTTGAAAATGCAGAGCATTTCCTAACAAATCTCATTAGATCTCATCTCTTTTGGTCAGATTTGATTGACAGTAAGAGATCCTCTCTCTGGATTGGGCTTAACAGCCTGGATCTCAAGAGTGGCTGGCAGTGGAGCGGCGGCATTCCCTTCAAATACTTTAACTGGGCACAAGGTAGTAATAATTTTTTTAACAGGTTTTGGAATTAATCTTTCCCAACATAATGTTCAGTGCACATTAATTACTAGTCCTGTAGTATTCCCCATGAATACAAGGAAATGGAATTGAAGGATTTATGAGATTTGTTGGACTAAAAAGCTGAGAATGATGCTTTTCTTCATTAGATATACCACAAGGAGTTTCAAGAAGAGTTAAATAAACTCATCTCCTATATGGAAGCAGATAAAGTGAACAGAACTAGTTGAACTGTAGCATGCTAGGAATGCCTTCAAGTCAGCTAAAACCTCTGTCTCTCTTCAAACCTCACAGGGTTATCAGACTGTGCATCCTGCAAGATGCTACTCAGCTGTCAGTGAGCATCAGTTTTTCAAAGCCTTCCCTGCCACTTTTTATGCTTTTCCTCTTTTCTTCTCTCCTCTTTAACATTCAAGAGAGCCTGTAAATAGAGTTCACAGCATTGGGAGTTTATCCTTGAAAGTCACTTAATGACTGTCATGGCAACAGCCAGTTGCAGCAAGTGCTGAATGTTTGCTTGCTGAATAAGTGCACAAATATTCCTTCTTTTGTCTTTCCCCAAGTCTCAGAGATGCCACCTGCTTTTATCTGGCACAGAAGATGATAGGAAAGCCCACAGCTGCTGATTTTGGTAGTGGTTTTCGACCTTCTGCTGAGCTTTTCAAATTCCTTAGGTCTTGCAGAGAAGAGCAGCTGAGTCTCAGGTCCAGTAGCCCACACTCTTTGGGTTTCCCTCTCCTGCATGATAGCTATTATGATGAGTCAATCTACACATCTCCAGTTTATGGTAAAATTATTTTAAGTTGTCTCTTGGGTAGAGAACGAAAAGCAAAAAAAAAAAAAAATCACATTGTGGACCCTTCTGACAGGAGGAAAACACTGCCTGTTAACTCAAGGACAACAGTCCTGGAGAACCTCCTGGAGGGCTGGCTGCAGAGGCAGGCAGGGGAGAGACACATGACAACTGTGAGGACATGCACAGAGGCTCACCTTGCAGCAAGGAGCAAATCTGAAGCCACATTGCTAAAGGGACATGCAGAAATGACATTTCCCAAAGGGCTGAAGTATAACTTTTTTGTCCCAGCACACCACCGAAAGCTGCAGGACCAGAACCTACCATAAAAAGGAAATACCTCCCTGCAAGGGCATTGTGGAAACCAGATTTGTTCTCATATGTGATTTGTTATGCCTTATCCAAAAGATGTGCCCTATGTTTTATTTTAGAAATTCCACTTTATAATTTCTGTGATCTGCTAAACACAGCTCTAGAAAGTACAAGCCACTTACCATGTTTCCATAAAGAGAAAGTCTACCCTGTCAGTGTTTGACCAATCCTGCTTCTCATCACTCCTTACTCAACTGCCAGACATTTGCCACTGATCATGGCATTCTGCTTTTGTCTACTATTTTTTTTTTTTTAAATATTAATTCACTGAATTTAGTTCAGCTCTAAAACATAGAGGTAGAACTCTAACTTTCAGGCTTTGAAACGTCTTTTTATTATTAGCAGCTGACATCTCTTACTAGGAAGAATGCTTTCTCCTCCTCAAATCTGTAAAAATCCTTGTCTCATGATGGAAATTAAGATGCTGCCTTATTGTGTTCCTGCCTAAAGATACTAGGTCACACTGTGCCCTCTGATTTCATTAATGTAATTGAGTGTTTCAAGTTCATTACTTAGTCATATGAGCATAACAGGGTCCTGACCACAAGTTGTATACAAAACTAGATGTTTCATGAGCTGTAAAACTATGAACTCTGATTTCCTACAGACTGTGTACAGCATTGTGACTGTACCATCACTAGGCATGCCTTCCATGTCTGGACTCTTCAGTCTAGCATCTACTGACTGGGCAATAACATCATTTATTCTGCAGCTGGTAGTTAACATATGTTCCTCAGCACATATACAGATGACCCCTATTCACAGGCTGATTAAACAGGTGGAGTGGCAAGGAAAGGACTCACTGCAGGCTTTCTACCACTGTGGGCTTGAAGTTTAGTCTCTCTTCTGTGCAAGCCAACAATTTTCACAAAACTTACAGGAATGTCTTATGTTTGAGACTGTTATTCTGTCATCAAATATTGCAGAAAGTGTGAATTATGCAACAATCATCTGAAGAAATGTTTTGATAGGTCCTTTACATTACATTTCCTTATGTCTGGTAGAAAAATAACTGTATCAATGAAGCAATGAGTCTGTAATTGACACATGAAAAGGCTGGAGAAAATTGTTCTTTCAGCTGCTGACATAAAATTTGTGCAACACAAAAATAATTTGGTTTTTATTCTATGAAGGAAGCCCTGAGCCTGAACCTGAGAAACTCTGTGCGGTACTGAATCCCAGAAGAGATGCTAAATGGGAAAACCAGCTATGTCAGCTGAAGCTTGGCTATATCTGTAAAAAGGAAAATGCCACACTGGATCCTTTCATTCTTCCATCAGGTATGTCAAGCAAATAAACACCCTTTGAGAAAGACAGATATTGAATCACTAAAATGAAATTTCAGAGCTATTGTCACAGTTTGACTCAGGTCCGACAACAATGCTCTCGATCCCCTCCCCCTCCCACCCAGGTAGGGAAGGAGAGAGAGAAAGAGAGAGAGACTTGGCTGGATTGAAAACTAAACTGCACAGCTTTAATTAAAACACTAATGAATCATACAAGAAAATATATACAATTATGTACAGATAGATTCAGGTATGGGCAAAAGCCTCTCGCCTCCCCCCACCCCAGCAACTCCCACAGCACTTCCCTGAACTGGGAAGAGTCCCGAGGAATCCCGGAGCTGCTGCTGGAGAAAGCAGAGAGTTATGGGGGTCACAAGAGATCAAGCCTGAGGATCGACGGTGATGGATGAACAGAGTCCTCCCTGGACGCCGGCCATGGACGGAAGAGAAGGGAAAAGAAGGAAGGAAGTTGTCTTCTGTGATCTCTGACCTTCCTCTGAGCTTACGTAGATATATGGAATGGAATATCTTTGGCCAATTTTGCTGTTCATCTAACTCAGCCTCCTACGGGGGGGTCACAGATCTCCCCATAGTGTCTGAGCTGGCAGAGTGCAGGTGCGGCCTTGAAGCCTCAGTAGTTAGAAAAACATTCCTCTGTCTTATCAGCCTAGCAGAACACACTGTTGCTAGTTACAAGAGAGCTTACTGAAGGAAAAAAAAATCAGTAAAAAGAAAAATTGGCTTCATCCTGGCTCAAACCAGGACAGCTATTAAAAAAAAAAGCAAAAAAAACCCCACCAAAAACGCAGCATTGTCATTTGTTCATCTGCTTTGATGAGTGGCACAGAACAAAACACACTGTTATTTCTTTAACCAAGTATATGTAAATGCGGGAAATGTTCCTGGAACCCAGTAAACACACAAGAAAGTTTCTTTCATCTGCTCGTACGTAATTCCAGAGGCACTGCTCTAAGCCATACAGTTGCCTAAGTATCATGGACTGCATGGATGTGAAAATAAAGGTAGAGATTTCCTGCAGCGCATTCTAATGAAAACACCAAGGCTCCTCAATGAAATCTCGGAAAGGTGGCACCAGTAGGCTCAAACCACCTTCTCAGTGGGATTGCCTGTAACCTAGAAACATGGCAAAAAAGAGCAAGTTCCTTCAGACCACTTTCCTACTACATTTTTATCTGATTTATTTAATGAGACTTAGTATGGAAAGCCATATAAGAAGACAATTATGAGGGCTGCAGTAATACTGCCTTTATGAAGTCTGAAACATATAATTGGATGGAGTACATAGTATAAAAATACTATACAAGGAATTCCAAAATATTCCTCTGTCCAAAAGTGAATATTGCATACTAGTGAAGCTCAGTTACCACTGGCTACATTATTTTCCTCTTTTGTTTAAATGTAGGATGTTTTCTGTAGAAGTCCCTTGTGCAACAACAGACTAAAATCTTATATATGTATGAGGAATAAAAAGAAACATTGCTTTAACTGATTTAAAATGCAATTGCAATTATTCTAGACTTCAGTTTGTGCTGTTAAAAAACTTGAATTATCTATTGATTTTGAGGGGATGCAGAGCCTGTTAAATGTCCAGCAGAATGGTTGCCCTATGGAGATCACTGTTTCATGATTCTTAGAGAGCCCAGAGCATGGACAGAAGCCCTAATTTCCTGCAATGAGAGCAATGGCAATCTGGCCAGTATCCACAACCCTGAAGAGCATGGCTTCATATTGTCTCAGCTTGGCTACAGTGAGTATTTCTACAGGACAGTGGTACAAATGGAGAATTATATTATTAGAGGTCTTAAAGGATTTTTTAAAAGTATCTTTTTTATTTGGTATGAATATTTGTAGGGTAGCCTAGAGATATACAAGTTAAAAAAAAACCCAAAACAACAAAACCTCAAAAAAAACCACAAGAGGAATCATTAGTGCTCTCTTCATTTTCTTTTTCTTGCTTTTCATTTTGATTTTAATTTGTTTTTCATTGCACGAAACCACTGGAAGGAAATAACAGCTCTAGTTATTGCAATATTTGTGTTGATTATCTGCCTCAGACACCTTGTAGCTGTAGATACAGTAATGGACTTTTACTGATAAAGCTGAAGAATCTCATTTCCTGCTGGTATCTTCATCTTTTAACTTCTTGAAAGAGGAATGTGAATTAGAACTTAAATTAACTCCACTGTCATTTATTTCAATGAGTTTGTGTTGTAACATGGCAATTTCAGCTCATCTCCATAAAATTGTGCTCCTATGGACAGTTTCAATGCAGGTACTAACACAGGTGAATTTCTATTCTTAGAAGCTGTGGATGAGCTGTGGATTGGTCTGAATGACCTCAACACTCAAATGTACTTTGAATGGAGTGATGGGACTCCTGTGACATATACTAAATGGTTGCCTGGAGAACCAACCCATGCATTCAATGGACAAGAAGATTGTGTCTTTATGGCAGGAGAGGTAGAACCATTCAACAGTTGCGTAGCAGTTTATTATTTGATTTTGAAGTTTGTATTCTTGTTTTTTTTAATTAATCTAATTTAGAAACAGATCAGAGACTGGTATCTCTATGGATCCAGAAAGACAGTTGTTTAAAATTAAATTTAAAATTAAATTAGACATAAGTAGATCAATGTTATATCTGATTGTGAGTGGACATTATGTGCCAAGCAAACCTTAACAGTCTGCCAGGGACATCTAGTTAGCTTAATATAACCTCACAATTAAGCACAAATACTTGGAATTCATTAAAAGGTACAGATCTTTCTTTTTTCTCCTATTGAAGTGGTATTTAAAAAAAAAATCAACAACATTTCTAAAGGAAACAGCTTCTGCCTCACTATTTTTCACCTCTTCCAAAACTGCATCTAGGATGGATACTGGGCCGACAGTGCCTGTGACATAAAGTTAGGTTACATCTGCAGAAGAAACCCACTAGAAGGAGTTTCTGGGACAGTAAAGACTGATCCTGCCTGCCTGAAGGTAAGAAGACAATGTAATCAATAATCTAGTTAGCAAAACTCTCTTGTTTTCACAAGCTCCCTTTAACATTGAAACTGTATTTTTTCCCCCCTAACAAGTGTGGCTGTTCATCAAATTAAGGGTGGTAATTTCCACTACACTCCCTTATTTGAAATAAAGTTATTTTTAATCTTTTTTAGTCCATATAATTTGGGCCTCTTATCTCTCAGAAATGTCTGTGAAAGAGACTAAAGCCATTAGTGTGGCTTCTGCAAATTTGTTCTATTGTTCTTCAACCATTTGTGGTTATCTAAGTTGTAGCAGAGACTGGGAACCATTTCTGGACTATGTGACATGATGCCAGAAAATGACAAACCTCACTATCGAAGACAAATCAAAACAATCAAAACACCTTTAAAAATTAATCTGTTTTGAACAAGTACCTTACTGCTTCTTCTTTTTTTTTTTTGTTGTTTTTAAATTCTTCTTTCTTTCTTTCTTTCTTTCTTTCTTTCTTTCTTTCTTTCTTTCTTTCTTTCTTTCTTTCTTTCTTTCTTTCTTTCTTTCTTTCTTTCTTTCTTTCTTTCTTTCTTTCTTTCTTTCTTTCTTTCTTTCTTTCTTTCTTTCTTTCTTTCTTTCTTTCTTTCTTTCTTTCTTTCTTTCTTTCTTTCTTTCTTTCTTTCTTTCTTTCTTTCTTTCTTTCTTTCTTCCTTTCTTCCTTTCTTCCTTTCTTTCTTTCTTTCTTTCTTTCTTCCTTTCTTCCTTTCTTCCTTTCTTTCTTTCTTTCTTTCTTTCTTTCTTTCTTTCTTTCTTTCTTTCTTTCTTTCTTTCTTTCTTTCTTTCTTTCTTTCTTTCTTTCTTTCTTTCTTTCTTTCTTTCTTCCTTCCTTCCTTCCTTCCTTCCTTCCTTCCTTCCTTCCTTCCTTCCTTCCTTCCTTCCTTCCTTCCTTTTCTTCCTTTTCTTCCTTTTCTTCCTTTTCTTCCTTCCTTTTCTTCCTTTCTTCCTTTCCTCTTGTTTTCCCCTCTTTTCACTTTCCTAATGACTAATGTTCTATGTTTAGTAACATTTCCGACAACACCATATGAGGGAGACAGCTGAGACTGACTTGGCTAGATGGAACTAGACAGCACCCAAATACTGAACACAGATTTTATTTAACTTTCTCAGATGCAGCGAGTATATCTTGAGCTAGTATAGAAGGGAAAAGTGTCTTGGAATTGAGCTGTAATTTTGAGGATTTTGCTTTCCAATAGTTTCTATGCTACGTCTGCAGTCAGACTTTTTAGGTGAGCTGATGAGCTAAATAAGTTATTTAGTCTAGTTACAGTTCTTGTAGTCCAGAAATGTCAGGAAACGAGTCAGCATCTCGCTAGATCACAGACTAGTTCTGGGCAAGGAAGTCTTTTACACACCAGCTTCTGAATACACTCCATTCTGTGTGCCTCTTAAGTTTTTAATGGTTAAAACTGATCAATTAATAATTGTCAAAAAAGGGGGGACTCATATGCATTATATCTCTTTTTTCTGGATGTTTGCTAAATTTAATTTCCATTATTCCATTGGAATTCAAATTAATGTATTACCACATTAGGTTACATGAAAAACATGTTGATTTAAGAGCAGACACTGGAATTCAAGCATTAGAACTTATACTTTTTACCACAAAGAGATTTCACATTTTCTTTACAGGGCTGGGAAAGACATGGTTTTTACTGCTACCTGGTTGGACATACCTCTGTAACGTTTTCAGAAGCAAAGAAAACATGTGAAAGGAGCAGTGGTTATTTAACAAGTATAGGAGACAGGTATGAAAAGCATTTCAGAACCACATCTGATGAAATAATCTTGGAATTTTATAAAATAGTTGAGAACTTCTTGGAAAACATGTGAAACCAGAAAACCAGAATAACTCTTTCCTGGAGAAAAATAAAAAAAAAATAAAAAAAAAATCAGTAAATACAGTTGATCTTTTCTAACTAAATATATTTTGCATATTCGTGTTTTGCAGTACTTTGAAAAAACAGATGAGCTGCTTCTGTTCTGTAAGTAGCAGTTTTTTAGGATAGTGTGGATTCTCCTGCTATTGAAGCTGGACCATCTGCTACCCAGCTAAGCAACATCTTTGCACTCCAAAGGAAATCTAGGGCAAACTGAATTTATTCTAGTCTTGTGTAGGTTCAGTTGCTGAGAAATGGCAGACGAAGGGAAAGCTATACTTAATGCCCATCTGAGTCCTGTCATTTCAGGTATGAGCAAGCCTACCTGACCAGCCTTGTTGGTCTGAGATCTGAGAAGTACTTTTGGATTGGTCTCTCAGACATGGAAGAGCAAGGGATGTTCAAGTGGGTGTCTGGTGAAGGTGTCCTCTACACAAACTGGAACGCAGCAATGCCTGGTACTCAGCAATTGAAGGAAATTTACGCTACTAAGGAGCTTTCTGTTTCTCAGCTTTGCTAAAACACTTCCATGATCACAAATACAGACAAAATAACAGGCTGAGGGAGTTGGGGCTGTTCAGCCTGGAGAAGAGAAGGCTCTGAGGAGACCTTATAGCAGCCTTCCAGTACCTGAAGAGAGCCTACAGGAAAGCTGGGGAGGGACATCTTTCCAGGGTGTGTAGTGATAGAACAAGGGGTAATGGTTTTAAGCTGTAAGAGGGTAGATTTAGGTTAGATATTAGGATGAAATTCTTTACTGTTAGGGTGGTGAGACACTGGAGCAAGTTGCTCACGGAAGTTCTGGCTGCCCCCTCCTCAGAGATATTCAAGGAGAGGCTGGACAGGTCTTAGAGCAACCTGGTCTAGTGGAAGGTGTCCCTGCCCATGCAGGGGGTTGGAACCAGATCATCTTCTAGGTCTTTTCCAACTCAAACCATTCTATAATTCTCTTATATGATTCTATGAAAATTAAACTGAGAGGAAACGGTGAAATCTTTTCAAGCTTGAGCGACTGGCTGACAAATCCTTGCAGTGCATGGCATAGGAAAGGAATGCAGGGATTGTTCATGCATTTGTAAAGGTTTTCAAAGGGGAGGGAGGATGAGGAAGGACTCAGCTCACTGGTTTCCTCTTTTTACAAAACTCCTCTTAGCAGACAGTACACTTAGTATTTCAAACAGTCTTTTTAAATTTAATCACATGCAATGTAAAAATGTCAAGGGAATGACCTTAAAACACATTTCAGTTTCCTTTTTTATCTCACAAAGGGAATGAAGCCGGTTGTGTTGCCCTAAGGACTGGAAATGCAGCTGGACTATGGGATGTTCAGAACTGTGAAAAAAAGGCAAAATTTCTCTGCAAAAAACTAGCTGAAAAAATTCGTCTTCCCCCTTCTCCTGAAACTGTTTCTGAATCCCCATGTCCCTTGGGTTGGGATAAAAGCAATAGCACTGATTCATGCTTCAAAGTAAGTATTAATTTTTCCATTAATCCTACTAATGAGACAGAAGAGTACCAAATAGATAGGGTGTCTAAGCTCCAGACAATGGCACGTTAATGCACAAATATAGTAAGCTTTTATACAACTATTCACAGAAGTCACTGCACTTATCACACTATCAGTGCTATATGTAAGATTATCCAATCAGCATACACTTTAATCCATATTAAATACGATAATTGCAATTGAATGTTTTCCTATTTTGCTTACACAGAGCAGTCACTACATTTATTTTTAACATGCTGCAAAATTGTCTACAGGTTTTTGTGAGAGAAGAAATCCAAAAGAAAACATGGTTTGAAGCCCAAGATTACTGCAGAAAAATAGGAGGAGACCTGGCTGCCATTAGAAGTGAAGAAGAGCAAAGAGTGATAGAAAACTTAATAATGTAAGTAAGGAAAATATCTAGTAATTGATATAAAAATATTATTGAGTTGTTCCCTGACATAATTAGTTGAAAATCCATACCTGTCTAGCATTGTAGTCATAAGAAAAAGAACTGAGAAATTATTTCATATGGGTACCATTTTTGGAGTTCCTAAAATTTGTCATCATTTGCAAATCTTTTAAATTAGAAAAAAAAAAAAAAAAAAAAGAGCCAACAACCACATTTTTGAATGCATCTCTTTCAGACTCATTCCTAAGTTTTTCCACTGAACCATTTTGAAACTAAATTGTGTCTTTCAGCAAACCTGAATATTTAATTTCTCAAAGAACACTATAATCACAACAATAATGACTAAAAAGAATTTGTTGTGTTCGCAACATAATCATTTCCAAAATAGAAAACTTTAAGGCATGAACTTCACTTACTGTCTAATGGGAGTTTGCTGACCGACAACATTTTACTCTTTTTAGTATTTCCACTCTATTTAAAGTCTTCAGTATGTGTGTGAGTTATTGTCCCACGTAACTTGCAAATGTACATGGTGAGGACCATGTACGTCCTCTTCATCTCTGTCACTTTTTTAACACTCCAGGAAAAAGAACCCATCGTATCAACCTTTCTGGATAGGTTTGCAGTGTATGAACCCTGATGGTGGGCTTTCCTGGAGTGATGGATCCCCGGTGAGTGTTTGACCTTGTTAATTTCTTTCTGCAATGACTTTTTTGTTCTTGGAGCTCTTACCACGACTGGTGTAGATGAAAGTTGTATAAGAATTCTCAAAAAAGTCTACCTTACCATTGGGTAGTTATAAATCATTGTTCTTCATAAGCATTTGGAAGAGAAAAAGGCCAATAAAACCTGGTTACACCATCACAACAGTGGTAACATGGAGTACTAATTGCAGCTACAGAGACAGTTTTCTAAGTGATAAATACATGAGAATGATCTCTCCTGTTTTTTATTAGTCTCTGGTGATATATTGCCTGTTTCTTTCCCCTACTATTAAGTTATAACCTCATTTGATTTGAGTTTTCATGGGACTGCTGGAGACTGTTCAATGTTGTGTAAACCCAGAAGCACATAGCTACAGCCCTAGTATGAAACTAAGGAGTGGTTTGAAACTTCAGTGCTACTTCTCTTTCCTTCCAGAGTACAACTTTGTTCCCTTTATGATAAGAATAAAAACCCAATTTGTGTTTCTTCTGTAGGTGAAATATAAGGAAAATAAATATTTTTGCTATACTGGATTTGTATATTGTGGAGCAATCAGGGAAGATCGTTTCTCATCTTGGACTGAGGAGAACTGTGAATACAGTCATAACTGGATTTGTCAAATAAAGAAAGGTGTGTTACTTTTTACTCTAAATTCAAATTACTTAGAAAGTAAAGCTGAAATCTACCGCAATAGGAAGCTCTGCAAGTTACATGCTTGTAGAAGATTTGGTTGATTTCACAGGGATGCTGCGTAATGAAAAATAGGTCAAGACATACTAATACTTTTAGAATATGTTTCAGCTGTTAAGCTTTTTGTTTGTTTGTTTAATTTAAGAAAAATATGTTATATTATATATTTTACTGAAAATATACTGGTTTATGTAATTACAGGATCATAGAAAACGAGGTGAAAGCAACCTCAAGCACTTACATGGTAAAATCCACTGCTCTGCCCAAAAGCAGATTTTTGTCACAAAAAAGTCTTTGACTGGCACGAAAGTGCATGTTTCTTGGAACTTTTATTTGTAGGGAATTTCCAAGGTGGGGCTAAGAGGTCAGAAAGGGGGAAAGAGAGGATTGCAATTTGCAAATATAAAAAGATTTATTTAATTCTCTGTATCCTTTGTGTAGTGAAACTTTACTCCTCCATTCAGGTGTAGCTTGAACACTACAAAAGAACACATTACTCACCTACTCTAATTTAAACAAGACTGGCAGTGCAGCAGAATCATTCTCTTTGTAAGATGATCTGTAAAGAAACTCCTGTAACAGCAGGATTGCAGTAATAAAAGTACAGTAACACAAGCTTCAAAATTTAAATACATCAAGGCAATAGGCAGGCTGACATCTTTCTCTCTTACTAGCAGCAAAATCTTCTGTGTTTATTATTATTATTTTATTATTATTAATTATTATTATATCTCAAATGTAAATACATTGAGTGAAATAAGGAAAGAATCAATTATAGCTTTGTATTAAGTTGCACATTTTACTCTCAAGGCTAACAGAAGTGCTGCTTTGGTGGCTCTCTAGGCTCAAGCAGTAAGGGTTATGTTTAAAGTGATACTTTTATAAATAAGACCATTTCTACACTGATGTATTATTCAAAATAATCTGATTCTAAACAAAGCACATTGTCTCAGCTCCTCGTGCTTAAAAAGTAAGTCACAGGCACCCATCTCAAAGCGATGTTGTTAGTATACCTTTCCTAGTAACTTTCTTTGTAATTCCTCACCTGCACGATCTGCACAACTAAAAATCATTTTCAAAAGCATCAGTAGTTCTATACTGTTAATTAATATTCCTGTATGAATGGCAGAAATTATAGCCTGAAGAAATTACCATAATTAGTCAGTAGGGCATAATGCCATACTGAAAGATACTGCAAAAGTCAGAATGATTTTTCCTTCTAGAACAGACATATATTTTTTTTCTCTTAAATCTTTTAATGAACCATACAAGAGTTTATTTTTATAGCTCTTGCATATTTAGAGATAGACTGCTCCAATATTCCTCTCCATATGATATGGAAATTTTTCATTCAAATTATTTTGCAAAATTTAGTGGAATTTCAGTTAAACTTGATACCTCACAAAGCAGTTTCATAGAAAAAAAAAGTTTCACTAATTATTACTAATAAAACTTAAAATATATTGAAGCTTTGTTTAATATTTTAATTTTTTGTTCAGATAAAAGACAATGTCCATGAAGAATCTCTTATTATTGTAAAGAGTATACCAACATTGAAGAATTTTCACTCTTTAATTTTCTTTCAGAAACAGGAACTCTTTCATATTAACTTCTAACTTAGGCAACACTCAGGATATACAAGATGAACCTACAAAAAAATCCACCAAGACAGAGATGTAGGGCTGTAATACATTTGTTGTTCCTTGAACATCCATTTTTGCTCTGCACCAAACACACTATAAATATATTCTGCATTTAATACGTAAAATATAGAAAATTGATAGACTTAAGGACAATTTCCACTAATTGAACACTTATACCAGCTCAACATTTAGGAAACCTTTTACATATTAATTTTTACCCCATTTCAATTCAGGGACACCCTTGAAACCAGAACCTCTGGGCCTTTCTGTAGGTAAGATTCTGTTTATTTTCCCTTAACTAAAAGGTAGTATCATGTAACAAAACCAGCTTAGTGTAAGGAACATGAAGAATTCAAAGATTCTCCTTCTGTGTTGCAGCATATGAAGTAATGGAAGATGGCTGGGTTTTAAAAGGGGACAAACAATATTTCTTCAGCACAGAAAAGACCTCTATGGAGAAAGCCAGAACATTCTGCAACAGCAATCATGGAGATCTTGCAACTATAGAAAATAATAGTGAAAGAAAATTTTTGTGGAAATATGTAAGCTGAAATTTGACTATGTTATACCATATATAGCCTAGACACCCTGATGCCTATGCTTGTGAAGTACAGGAGAATGTGCTTGTTGCGTCATGTTACTACATTTTATTAGCATTAAATATAAATGTTCAATGAAAAAAAAATTTTTTCTACAGAAGAAAGTTTCCCTTTAGGAAAATAAATGCAAAGGAATTTTCCATTTACTGGGGTGGATATATTCTAATCTAACCAGAACTCTGCCCGTGATCTAACATGCATAAGGAGCAACAAACAGGCAGATTAGATATATACAGAGAATATCACTACCAGGGTGGTTGCCTCTAATCTGAGTATCACATTCTAGAATACAGTGTAACTTGCAGATGTGAGACTATTGTCAGTGTAGCTCTGATGGTCACATACTATATCATGTAGTGTACATGAACAAAAAACCTTTTCAAAGAAAGATTTAGTCCAGGCCTGGCAAGGGACTGACGAACTGTGATCTTCATGAATATTTTTTCCTGCAACACATCTCAAAACTCTTCATGAATTTCAGGAGCACTGCCCTCACATTGCCTGAGACAGGTCTGATGGTCATGTGCCAAAGCTGTGACAGGGGGACACTAACGATTTAATGGCATGGATGTTGCCCAAAACCTCTGCCATAATCTTACTCAGTCAACTGATGTTGAAGAAGCCACACAACCTTTTTTCTGTTTCACACTATTTGATGCTTGCTTTTATTATATGGGAAAGGATATGAAAGGACGAGAGGACAGTCAGCTTGAGACACAGGAATTACATGGCCAGTTAAGAATAGCAAAATACCAACAAATTTTACACTACATTTTTTCTTCGGTGTCCCTTGCTTGTTCTTAAATTGAAAACATAAATTTGGAAGCTTTGATCATACAAGTAAAGCAGTCAAAACCAGGAAAGCAGCAATAAAGATAAAGCAAAAGTATGTGTTTAATGGAATTTACTTCAACAGGAGTCCTCTGTGGTAACTACACATGATAATTTATACAATGTGTATTAATTTGCTTCCACAAAGCAGAACGCATATTTTTTCATATTAGATAATTACTAAATAAGCACTAACTAAAAGTACATTTTTCTGTTTAGATCTTAAAAAATGGCAAATTCGAGTCATATCTCATAGGATTAATTCAGAATGCTGATCAACAGTTTAGGTAGGTAAACAAGCTACATCAAGACTCAAAAAAGGTGGTTGCAGAAGTTTTTTATTGCCAGAGTTCCTTCTGGAGGGACCACTGTGAGGGAATACACATGATAAATACGGAGATAATGTCTGTTAAAAATAAAGATAATTTTGTTCTTTGACTTGACATGCAGGGATTTAATTATCTGAGGTCTTTTAATCATAATGAAGACTCAATTTACAGACAGACTCAGGTGTAATTAAAAAAAAAAAAATAAATTGAAATACTTTGCATGTTAAGGTGGTTTTTCCTGAACTTTTCCATTAACATCAGCCAAGCAACCGCTACTGGGTTTTGTTTGGTTGGTTGGTTTTGGGTTTTTTGTTTGTTTGTTGTTATTTTTTGTTTTTTTGTTTGTTTTTTCCAGTTGGATCGATGGAAGCCCAGTGCACTATGCAGCTTGGGCACAGGGTGAGCCCAACTTTGCATTGGGTCAAGAAAACTGTGTGGTCTTATATAAGAAAGATGGTGAGTTACACAACTTTTGAAAAAATTATATTTATGGTTACTGCTCTTCCCTTGTTTGTTGAAATATCTTGCCAGCTTTAACCCATTCTTTTGAAGCAATATGCAAAAATAGGTATAATAAAGTACAGTAATTATATATGACATTTCCTTTGAGCTAATATTAGCTATAAACATGGAATCTAAGAAATTTATTTTAACGGGGAATGCAGGCACAATTTTATTGCTGACTTTTCAGCTTCACAAACAGTACCTTCTATTATAATTAACAGCAAGCTGGTCCTCCAAAAAAACAATTAGAGAATAGTTGCCAAAGAAACAGAACATATATGGAGTTTCACATTTTACAGTGTTTGCACTGACAAAGCGTTGTGCATTTGGGTGGATTCTACTCAGGTCACGATGTTGTCACACCACCCATCTTGTGTGGCAGCTACTTCCAGTCGCAGCACGATGAAAGTCCTCCAGTAATCGGTGATGATGGGAGGGAGAGTTAAGCTGAAGCATGTTATCTCACATTCCCAGGCCAATAAAAGCACGGAAGCCAGTTCAGTTTCCCACAAATTTCAATCTTATTTGATGTCTTATTATTTATGTTTAAATTTATTTCAGGCTTGTGGAATGATGTCAGCTGTGGCTTTTCAAATGGCTATATATGTGAGAGGCAAAGAAGTTTTATAAATGCAACACTTCCTTCAGCAGTACCTTCACCTCCTGGAGGATGTCCCAAAGATTGGCTTTTATTTAAAAATCAGGTAAGATAACATCCTTCTAAGCACAATGATACTAGTCTTTGGAAGATACTTCAAGATCTACAAGACCGCTTTTGTGTCTCAGTATCTTTTGACAGTGGTTATCCAAAGTGGCATTAAAATTGAACCAGTTGCCTAAGTTTTGCAAAATGGTGGGTCTTAATTCTTTTCCTGAGATGTGGTCAACAGAGATATATTGGAAAAACTCCTACATTCTACTACACTTCCAAAAATGTTGAACTGAATTCAACTGAATGTGCCAACTACAGTGTAAAACCAGGCATTTGAACTGCAATAAAACAGAAATAGGGCCAAATTTGAGACCTCATAGCAGCCTTCCTATACCTGAAGGTGGACTACATAAAAGCTCTGGAGAAATATTTTACAAGGGCATGTAGAAAGAGGACAAGGAGTAAAAGGTTGATTGTAAAAGGGTAGATTTAAGTTAGATATTAGGAAAAAATTCTTTAGTATGAGCATGGTGAGACAACGGAACAGATTTCTCAAGTAACTTGTGGAAGCCCCATCCCTGGAAATGTTCAAGGGCAGGTTAAATCAGTCTCTGAGCAACCTGATCTAATGGGAGGTGTCCCTGCCCCAGGAGGAGGTTGGAACTAGATGACCTTTAAAGTCCCTTCCAACCCAAATGATTCTATGATTTTTCCTAACAGGCTTCAGTGTAATACCTCTTCCCAAAAGAGCTAAACTTGATGTGTTTATTAAGTAAGGGTTTCAGTTTCAAAAATGTACAGTATTGTTATGAAAGCATACATGGAAACTTGCAGCAGTGGAATTTATGCCAGTACATTTTTCTGTTTTGCATTTTTGGTACAGTTGTTGGAGTTGTTATTTTCCACAAATGATGCAAGATAATTCTCTGACAGTGCAACTGGTGTGCCACAGGGCAGAGTGTGAGCTGTAAAAATGGAGAGGGTATATTAGGCACACCAATAGTTACCCAAAGCATTCTAGGGTGAATATGTATTGGTAATGTGATGACTATGCACTTTTCAAAAACCATGAATCCTATAAATCTATTAATAAAAGATCTGTAAAATGAAAAAAAAGCTGAATACATATATGAGAACACACTGAGCATAGATAGGATCTAGGTCAAAAATGTTTTTCAGAAAATTCAGATGATTCCACATTAAATCCTGGTTGGGCTTCTGTTATAGAGTCAGTACTTTTTTGTCTTTTACTAATGATGGAGCATAGCTTCTCAAAATCTGAGTTAGTTAATGCATTAGATTTTCATCAGACTCCTGCTGTGCTATATAAATGGTTGAGTTTTGTTGTAACTTTCTGAGTCTCTCACAGAAAGACACAGAGGAAATTTTAAATTTGTGAATAGCTTTTACTTGGTTCCACAGCTGAGTCCCCGTTAGCTTTGGAAAATTATTTTGTGGGTCTAAGCTGGGATAATTTCTACTTAAACTAGTATAATTAAAACCTGTCACTCATTAAAAGTCTATACTAATTTTTCTCTAGTGTTACAAATTTTTTGGCTCTTCCTATAAGTACTGGTATTCTGCAAGAAGAGTTTGTATGGATCTTGGAGGAGACTTGGCAAGCATCCATAATGAACAAGAACAAGGTATAGTGCAACAGTTCTTTAGTTAATACATAGAATTTACTCTGTATGCAGTGGCCATTTCCTGCAAAGGACATGGCAAAAAGAGACAGTATCTAAATATATCTCTTTTATAACATGTATGCTAAACATGGGTATGGCATGTAACATTTTTGGAAGAACTGGAACAATGTGTCTAGGGTCCCCTAGTGATGCTAAGGATTGAATCCTCCTGCTCCATGCAAACTGCTTTATGTTATTTTTAAGGTTATGGATTAGCATAAAATAACAAATCAGACTTGGATTTTGTAATTCTAGACAGAGAAAGAAAAGGAATCTATGGTGTGTTTCTGCCAGAAATAAAAAAGATATATAACCATATCTCTCTGAAATGGCTGCCCACATTCTGCAACTGAATTTCAGCAGTAGAATGTCAGAGGAAGACACATTTTCACCCTGTCTCTCATCCCAGGCTTCCTTTTGCCATTGTATACAGCTACGCATTTCCATTAGTCGATCAGCTCATCCTGAGTGCTGAAATCACCAGATAACACAGTCATCAGGCAGGATTTTTTTTTTTTTTTTCAGTTTCCGGTCTTCCTTCATAGTTCCAAATACTTTCACTCTTTGAGATTTTTCATAGACAAAGGCTTGGTATAACCTCAAAATAATTAACTTGGGTAAACTACTGATAAAATGCTAATGAAAACATATTTACAAGATTTTAAGAAGCAACATACTTAAGGTTGTTTATGCGCTCATGTCTTGACTGAAGACATGACATGTTCATCTCTTCTGTTGGCTTTTACTTTCCAGCCTTTCTCACTTACCATTTGAAAGATGTTTCAAATGATCTCTGGATTGGCTTGAATGATAGACTCAGTGAACTCAACTTTGTCTGGGCTGATGGAAGTGCTCTCACCTATACTAACTGGGCTCCAGATTCCCCAAAACTTGTAGAACCTATTTTGTTTGACAGTCTACATCCAGAAGATGGTCACAATCGGCAACAGGTAAATACTACTCAGCATTTAGCATTGAGTGAAATCTGAGGAGCAGTATCACTTCAAGTAAATAGCTCCCTTTGGTACAGACATTGCCTTAACCTTCTTCCCAAACTGTTCATCTGTCTTTACATTGGGATTAGCAATAAAAAGTTCCAATGTTCAGCAAGCTAACTTACGTCTGTAAAGGAGGGAGGTGAGTATGCAAGAGGAGAGACTTGATTTTTTTTCCTTCTTCTTTCCAATTTAAAATTTTAATTGAATTGCTAAGGTCCAATAGATCTCAACTACTTTCTAAATGAACCCACCACTGCTACGACTGAAATGCAACCTCTCAACACTCTAAATAAAATAACATTCTTTATTTTCAGATCAACATAAGTGGATTTTCACACCCACATAGCTTTTCTTCATTTATTTCCATATCTTGCTTTCAGAACTTGCCCTTCACAATGTGTCATTCCACTCACTGTGCATACCCCCTTCATTTTGGTACCTATACCTCTAGACAACCAGTTTAATCTGCACCTGAGCCAAGTCATTCTGCTTTTGCCCATCTAGCCATTGGGCAAGGCACTCAAGAAGGCATATAGATACAGCACAATACATAGCTCTACTTTATTACAGCTCTAATAATGCTCCTGGGAAATATCAAGCAGGGGAAAATAAAACAAATAAATGCACAAAAGTACATTCTAGTCTTCTCTTTCACCTTCAAGATACTAACAGCTATCTCTTTCAGAGGATCCTTTTGAAAGAAGTGAAATATAGCTTACCAAACTTAAGAAAATAGAGTCAAGAACTACTAGAGCAGGTGTTCCAAAAATATAGGCATGGCAGCTTAGTAGGCTGTTGCAGGTTGTAATAAACTTGAAGTCTCACTTTCTTAAGCATACAGCACCTGATCTGGTGTAGCTGAAAGAGAAATTCTAAGAACTATTGTTGATGATAGCTCTGACAAGGACCATCATTTAGATTATTCTGCCAAGAATAACCACTATTTAACGTTGGCTTCGCAAGCCAAATAAAAAGCATGACCTCCATTTATTTTTATTTCATTCTTATTTAAAAATTACTGATAGCCACTTATTAGTTCAGACAGTAGGTGTGACAGAAATTTCTTTAAAGTGATAGTGCCTTTCAAATAAAGTGCCTCAAAATAACTAAGTGAACAAACAAGATTAGCTGAAGATTACAAGACTTACACAACAGTACCAAGGTGGAACTGGCCACCACATAGGAGCGCAGAAAAGACAGAAAAGGATAAAAGGAAGGTTTCTAGAGTTGTAATACAAACCCTGCAATGTCGTAATTCACAGAAAAAAGAAGTGAAACTCCCCAGGGGTTACAGTACTCTGTTTAATAACTTTTAATATCAATGTACTCATATTCTTTCACTTGTTTTAACAGTTTGATTGTGTTACTCTGAAGAGAGGTCATGCTGATGACACAGGCAAATGGAATGATGAGCAGTGTTATATGTCCAAAGGGTTTATATGCCAGAAGAATAGTGGTGAGTTCTATATCATTAACCTTAAAATGTATAGCAAGGATTAAATCACATTTCTCATGTAAAAATACTTTAGACTAGTTATATATATATAGTTATTTAATTTTTTTGAGGGGGGTAGGTGGCAGGGGAGTAAAGGATCAGTAAAACCCAGGTTCCATCTTGCACCCCGGTGTTACTTTTAGCAATGTTTTGGAGAAGGGAATTATAAATAAAATATCAGTAATTAGGAAAGCAAAATAATTTTATTTTTTAAAGTGCAATTAGTTAGAAGTTACTAATATTTCATTTACATCAATTCATAATGATTCTCATAATTGGTAAGATAGTCACAAAGCTGGTAAGTCACAAAGAGTATTTTGAAACACACAGAGTAGGTGTGTTATTTTTTACTGACGGAATTAATTTATGTCAGCAATATAAAATACAATGAATTTATTAATTCAAAATTCTCAGAGGCTGAATCATATGTCTTTCATCCAGAAAGTTCACTGCTGTTTTGAAGTTATCTTACTTATAAAAAACTAATGAGAAGGTGTTCCATTCCAGTAGCAATTTTCTACTAGGTTTGTAAATAATTAAGATGCTATTCAGTGACTCAAGTCAAATATATGGCTCCCAGATTTAACTATGCTTGGGGTGGTGGTTGCTTTTTTTTCTTCCTTATTCCTACAGATCCTAAACTCTTTAAGTCATCAGGAAGAGTGACGGACATTGCTTTTGACCACTCTGGTGGCATTAGCTATTTCGTCACCAGTACCAAAATGAATTGGGAGGAAGCACAGAAAGTCTGCAAGAACAATGCCTCAGAACTTTCCAGCATTTTAGATCCACATAGCCAGGCACTGTTGTTCTTACTTGCACTGGAATATGGAGAGCCTCTGTGGATTGGTCTTAACAGCAATGTGGTAAGAACACATACAGATAGTCAAGCTGACATCAGACCTGATCTTACTTTATGATCTCATCTTGCAACCTGTAGGAATTGCTGCCAGTGTAGTGCTGAAAACACCATGTCACAGCAGTACAATACCCATTTATGCTACAGTTCTTCAAATAAGAGTCATACAGTGGAGATTTTAATGGAACTGTTATATGCTTTAGCACAAGGAAATGATTATACAAATCAGTATATAGCAACACTGTGTGTTGTTTGGAGCAATTAAAAGGGTCTCAAATATAAATTCTAAAACCTGCCCCATTTTGAGTTTATTTTAATCTAAAAGATATTCAGAGAACAACATGCATCCTGCCCTCCTGCCATGTGGTTAGTGACCAGTGACGTTACATCTCAGGTTGCCCATCTGAGACATGTGAAGGAATGGTTTTCATGTGTGTTTATGCCCACATGTTCTACTGGAGTAGCCTCACTTATGGTAGAAATAGCAAAATACAATTGTGGACAGAAACAGACGTAAAACTTAGCTAAATGAACCTAGGGGCCATATGGTCATTAGTCAATAGGGTACATATTGACTAATGGATATATTTTTTCATTTAAAAATGTAATTGGTGTAGTTGCTTCCGTTAAGAACCTAGAATATTATTTTAAAAAAAAAAAAGAAACTTTTTTTTTTTTTTTGTGAGATGTCTGCATCAGTTGTATGACAGGGGAGAGTGAACATTTGGATGGTAGGAATGATGTTTTGACATGCTACACTCTTCCCCATGAAACACAGCCACAATAACTACAACAAAAGCAATTGCAATCAGCACTGTTCATTAAGAACACACCCGCCCACAGTCTCATTTTCTATGCAGAACTTTAGATAGGTACACATACCAATAAGATGTCTTATCTGACTCAAAGTTTTATGCCTTCTTTCATGCTCTTTATTTTTTCCCTTCCCCTTCCCAATGCTTGAAAAACACTCTCTGAACTATTGTTAGAAACTTTTTGAACAGTAATAAAAATAAAATAAATCATCCTGTATTCACATTCATGGGTAACAGACACTGTGCATTTTGTTGCAGTTAGCATTTACAAGCACAAAAAGAGGACATTATAAGCATATGATTTGATACTGGTTACATGAGAGTCCTCTTGAGGATCCTGTGCAGTAGCTGTCTCTCTCAGCCTCTTTGAAATTACTGTACAGATTTTGCTTCCAGACCAACAGCAAGTATCAATGGATTGACAGATGGAGATTGGTTTACAGCAAGTGGTCCAATGGGGAACCAAAGCAGACATTAGCATGTGTCTACCTAGACACTGATGGCACCTGGAAGACATCTTCTTGCAAGGAAAAACACTTTTCTGTCTGTAAAAAAACAGATGGTAAGCAATTTAATAAAAGTGTTTTAACTAGAGGGTGTGTAGATTTATTAACCTTGCTAAGCATAATCAGCCACTGGAAAAATACTTGTTTTATATACTATTATAGGTAAAACAAATTTTATAAAATAACTGGATTCCAACTACTTGATCTCTTATCAGTAAAGGCCCCTACTGAGCCACCACAACTTCCTGGAAAATGCCCTGAATCAAGAGGACATAAGTCTTGGATACCCTTCCATGGTTACTGTTACTACTTTGAAGCCTCCAGGAAAAGAAGCTGGTCTCAAGCTCAACAGGAATGTGTTCGACTAGGTGAGTGTTTTGTCTTAGAAAAATTGTGCCAGGGCACAGTGTATTAATTTGTTCTCACTGGCTGGACAATAAATGAGATGGAGGAGCTGTTAACTTTCATGAATCAGTAAAAACACATCCAGCCATAGAGGTCCTGCTCTGGAACTGCCCCCACTGCTATCTACAATTTGAAGACAATAACTGTTGGTGGATCAGGGAGAGCAAAAGACACTTCACGCTTCTGATTTCTCCTGACTGTTGCCAGTCTGCTGCTGTGCTGCAGCATAGACTTCAGTGTGAATAAGAATAGGAAACATTCTGTACATCAGCACTATATATCTGAGAGTCTTTTCACTGTAAGAGAGAATACAAAGACTTCTAGCAGCACTTCCTCATATGTATGAAAACACTGACCTATGACTCAATAATCAGAAAGGCATTTTACTTTACAGCTGTGTGACAACAGTACTCCTTAAATGGTCCTGTAGAAAGATCAATCACATGATTACTAGAAAAAGTAAACTTTACACTAACAAGCAGAATGAAAGGTCATGTTTGGCCACTGGTTCATGTTCTAAATTCCTGCACTTTTGCCTATTGGTTAACCACTGGCCAGCCAGGAAGGCGATAATTTCCTTATGACCCAAACACAGTGTGGTGTATTTGGAATGCCAGGTCATTTGGCAATTATAAATCAATTTCTGGACTTCTTCTGGACTGCAACCTCTACTTGCTTAGACATCTTACCTACCCTTGCAGTACATAGCATCAGGTACTGCCAAAAATGCTGCCCACTTACTGATTGGTGACAGAGCTGTAGTGGCAACATGTACAGTGCCAACTACATGATATACACCACTTTCAGCTTACTTGTATCACATTTCAGGGTGTGGTTGGACCTGTCCGAAAAGTATTGCAGGAGAGCAATTTCTCTTCTCTAAAGTACCAACAGCCAAACAAAAACTAATGTCTTCGTGCTGATTTACATCCATCAACATACAATGTAGTGATACAATAACCATAGAGAGAGTAGTGAATCTTATGTGCAGAAATCAGTGTCTTTTACATCTTTTTGCATATCTTCTAAGTATTCACTGAATGAGACATTGTGATATGTTCATTAATATTTTTTCAGCTGCTAATTTGGTATCAATAGGAGACTATACTGAAGTAACCTTCCTGTTGGACACTATTAAGATACTCCATGGAAAATCACTGAACTTTTGGATAGGGATGATGAAAAATGACAGAGGTAATGTCTTCAATATTTAACAATATATTATCATAAGATACAAAATTGTTAATGTTATGTTATATTTGAATGTGATATTTAATGTTATTTAAATGTTATATTTAAAGCAAACAACTGTGTAAATTTGAAAATACATATAAAAAGTTTATTTCAAAGCATGCTTACATATGCTTAGAAATGAAACTGAAACATGTTACTACCTAGTCGTGTAATAAATTTATGTTTTCCTCATCACAACTTATTGTACCTGTCTAAACCCCTGTATTTTATACATTTATGCTCATTTTAAATATTAGGACAGTGGGTATGGACAGACAAATCTGCAATGGATTTTGTCAACTGGCAAATGGGAGAACCTTCAAACAAACGGTTTAAAGACTGTGGAGAAGTATGTGCACTGTCTGGCTACTGGAACACCAACGTCTGCTCTTTCAAGAAAGGATATATCTGTAAAAAACCAAAAAGTAAGTGATATTTCTAATACATTAAGGTCAATAATGCCTTATATTTTAATTGTACAATGTAAAAATTACAATATTTATAGATTTGTGGGCAAAACCAATAGACCCTAACAGTAGGATTCAGCTGCCTAATTACTGAGGAGCCCCACACGTCTTCTGACTGCCTCCTCAGAAGGCTGCATCTCCCATAACTCCTGTAAAATTGCCATTAGCCCCATGCAGCCATCATAAATACTTCAGAGTCTTATGTTTAGGCAAAATAATGGGTAAAGACCACGCATTTTTAATAAAAAGACTTTTTTAGCATAATTTGTCCTCATATATCTCACAATCTATGCTCAAAAGCAGCGCTCTGTTTAATTTCAGCTGAAAATATTATTTAAAAAAATAATCTTGTTCTGATGCATGCAATGAAAACTCTGTCTTATAGAAATGCTGGTATTGGTGATTGCTTTCATTACTGTCCTCTGAGCTGACGGATTAGAGAAATGTGATATCACACATTCTTGTGGCACTCTATCTACAGTATGATAGAATCATGTTTAATTAAATGCTGGTACTATCCTGATAGCAAAAATATCACTGCAAAAAATTCATGAGTTCATATATTAACTGAGATTGAAGCAATCCAGAATATAACCATCTTGATTGGTTAAGCAACATATTTCTGTTCACCTTTCCCTTAACTGTTAAGTTTAGAAAGCGCAATTACCACAGGATCCACATTCACACAGAATCGTTGTCTCTGACAGAAGAGTCTAGTTTATCCTCAAGCAAAATGCTCATGGTACATTTTGAACACTGGAGACCTCTACACAATAAATTTTTCCAGTTTCAGAAAACACTATAAAATTATTAAAGATCCTGCAGGCAGTTTCTCAGAAATGAACATATTTGAAAATACTCTTTGAAGTAACAGAAATCTGAGTCTAATTTAATATCTGGCTGGGTATCTCAACTGACAAGGTCAGATGCCCTTGGAATGAAAGAGCCAATCATGCTACTAGAAGTTTACACAGGCTTAGTTCCATCTCTCTGGGAGAATAAATGTCACCAGGAAGTGGGTTTAGGGGAAATTGTCAGGAGAATCTGGACTTAGAAAGCTTTGGGGTTTTTTTGTTTGTTTGGTTTTGGTTTTTTTTATTATGCATTAAAAATAAATGGTTTCTTTCCTTTCAAAAGTTCCTGAAAACACAGAGATGTCAACAGGAAGTACAGGTAAGCATGCTTCCTTTCTAGTAGAATTATATGGAGATACTGAAATAAAACAAGAACATTATGACATATTTTTCTAGGTATTAATTTTTACAGTATTTAAAAATAAAAAGTCCAAATATTTAATCTGTACCTAGATAAAGGAAACAGAATTTCTTCTGAAGTTAATTGTGTTTTGATCAGTTTTAATTATATTTTGTTTGGTTCTGCTAGTAAAAAAAAAACCCATTTAACCACTTGTTGAAGTGAAAATCTACATGCATATTGGATTTATCCGCTTCCTGGTTAAAGAAATTCCATTTTTCTAGATTCTGAAATCTCTTAAAATGAAGGGTGTTGACTCCATTTCATCCATTTACAGATGGGAAAATTGAGAAAGTACTTTCTATCAGTACCATCTGGCTGTTCATCCTTCTAGCCCTTTGTATAGTTGGAGCTGGATGCACAATTTATTTTTGCTTGAGGAGGAAAAGACAAAGCCTGCTACAAACTTCAACCAGAATGACTGGACCAGAAGCAAGTGTGGATATCCAAGAAAAAGTTGCACATACCAACATGTAGTCTGACAAAATGTCCTTATCTTCCAACTAACAAAAACCAGCCCATGAATCAGTGAAATCTTACATCAGCTTTGTATTTTCTTGCCCAGATAAGACACTCTTACCTTCACAAATATAAAGTTAATGGATTTATAAATATACACATATATATAGTCCCTCCAAAATTCCCTCCAAAGTGTTTCAGAGTTTCTTTTGTTTAGTTTGGGGAGTACACATATCTTTTTCACATCAATGAGTATGGCTGGAAAGTTGACTCCATGGGTATTAACGGGAAAACTTTGACAGATACTTACCATGTGAAATTATTTTATTTACCTCAATGCAGAAATTCTCCTTTGTGCACACAGGGGAAATGATTACACATACCTTTACATTATTTTTCTTCACAGTTCATGATATCTTTTCAGTCATGTAAAACTTCTTATAATGCTTGCATCTGTGAATTTAATATTTTCCTACCAAAAAATAGATGGAAAAAAAAAAAAGAAAAGACTCCTTTATTCCTATTTATTGTCTGATTTTTTTGAGAATAATAATGCCATTTCCTACAGCTTTTCAATTTTCTATCATTCTGTAAATATCAACATATTTCTGCCAAGTTCAAATTAATAATAAAAATACAGCAGTAGATGATCTCTCCATTAGGTTTTATTTCAGCAATGATGCTTTCAGGACACAGAGGTGCTCCTTTTCAAATCCAAGTCTGTATTATAAATATTCATCTTATACTGTATTATAGAACTCACTGGTTACATATTCGAGAAATAAAACCACCACTGTACTTTTTGGAAAGAAATTGTTTAATTTTTGTTGTAATTTAATTTGATTATGCCTAGATATCCTTTCAGCTTTTCTTCAATACACAATAGCAGTGCTTGCCTTAGAAGGCAGTTTATAATTCTGCATATTTTAAGACATCATCATCCCTCTTGAGTTAAGAAAACAGCTTTCTCCAATCAATAGGAGGGCACCTGCCACCAACCAGCCTCAGTGAAGACAGTCATACAGAGGAGCAGGGCTAGAGCAGAGGAGGTTCTACCAAATGTCTGTAAAATGAAAGAGATTCTCTCTTTGCCCCTTCTGTGAGAATGGTAGTCAGAATTTCTTCCCCTATCCCTATGCTTAAGGTTTCTAGCTGCCAAAATGATGATGTCATGCTAAAGATTTCTTTCAAAGAGAAAAGAATATCTGGAGTAAGTGGAATAGGTTTCTGGACCATGACATCTGTACCTATGCCTGAGTAGCCTGAGAACACACTTGTATTACCCCTATCATTTACGTTTTTTCTAGTTCTGCAGTAAACCATAAAGACTCCTAAGGAAAAATATTATTGATAGCTATTTAGAATGGAAGCAGTCCCTTCCTTCAGGAATAGTTTCTTCAGTTGTTTTATCAAGGACAATCTTAAAACACGGGGCACTTTTAACATTTTTCCTCCTGAACTTTCAATATTTTCTGCTGCACTCCTTTGCTGAACAGACACACACTATTCTACACCTTTGGCTAATTTCACTAATCATGGACACAGAAAAATGTCTAATGATTGTATGGCCTTTCCCTCTCTGATATTTCTGTATGACCTTACTTAACCAAGAGACTTGGTAAAAAAACCAAACCCAACAAAAGCTCCCTTATAGGTTATTTAAAATAGAGTTAAGAATTAAGTAAACCAGAAGTAAATTTAACAATTAATGTCCTTTGAACACTCTGTAAAGCTCTGAGATAAAACCCCTTAGAAAAAAAGAAATTCCTTAAATTACTATAATAGCTGCTGTAATACCAACTCCTCCAATAAAGGCATTCACTGTTATTTACAGGAGGAAATAGGAAATGGCTGAGAGAACTAGGAAATGGCTGAGAGAACTTTGTACAAAACTGTGCAAATGAGACAAACACCACCTGCTTCCCATGGAGATGACTACAGATAAAATTGCTTCCGGATATATGCTACAGAAATCTGGGAATATGTAGTTACACTTGCCCTTTGGAATAGTAGATAGGGAAAGTGCTTTTCCTGTTCCATGCTTACATACTTACTGTATATATGCCCAGCTTACTGAAATTGAAAGGAAAAAAATCACCTTTCTTAAAAGAAAAATAGGAAGCATACAACAGAAGAGACTAATTTTTTTAAAGTTAACTGTAAAAAATGGAAGTTCATAATGTACAGGTATTTTGCAGCTAGACTCAACATCACGTGTGAACAAGAAACAGATAGGAACACAGGTATGCTGCTGATCCTCCTACAAGATACTGAAACACAGCAAAGGCTGATACAAAATGTCCCTTACAGAAACAGGAAATAAAGAAAATGGAAGGAAGGAAGGAAGGAAGGAAGGAAGGAAGGAAGGAAGGAAGGAAGGAAGGAAGGAAGGAAGGAAGGAAGGAAGGAAGGAAGGAAGGGAGGGA